ACTATTATTTTCAATATTAATCTTCAAATAAGATAACATTTATGAATTAATGTCCAATTAGTTCATTGCACTCAATCCCAGCCTCTCAGCACATGTATGTCGTGTGGTTTGCATTCAATTTGAATATGAAATTCACGTCCAATTAAAAAATAAATCAATTTTCTCCTAAAACTGGCGGACAAATCACGTCTACTCTAACTGTTCCGCAGACTCTTCGTATTCCTCTTCGTCTTCGGGCTCTTCTAAAGTGATCTGAAATTTGATTTTCTCTGCGGCGGCCGCTAAGTCACGTACGGGTCCCACACCCTCCGCCTCCTGTGCACTGAGTTCTTGAGCGGTGGGACTCATGGGAATCATACTGTGGTACCAATCGCGGTTGTCCTCTAACGTGTCCAGTATCTCTTGAGCGTCCGGATGTACCAGGTCACCCCACGTCTCCCATAGCGGGTGAACTATAGGTAGCAAATGTCACAGTTTTATTAATTAATTTTCATTTGTGTGCCAAAGCTTTTTAATACTAAATTAAATCTTATTCAACTCAAGATTCTCTACCAAATGATTGATTCGCTTTTATTACTGTATTTTTGGTGTTTTTATATTCAATTTTTTTACTTATAAATAGTTCAGGCAAGTACAGTAATTTAAATTTTCAGATTTAATCACATATTTTTCTATTATTTTTAAATTCAACCACTAGAATATGAAAAATTAATAATTAATAAATATTTAAATATCGTATATAGATATCATATGATAAATAGTGACGAAAAATAATATAACTTGACTGGTGAGTTAACTTGATAAATGTGTGCCTAATTTAATAAAATATATAGTTTGAAAATGGGTAATAAATCGTGAATCCCTTCCAAAATAATTATATAAATTATGGGTTATCTATAAATTGGTGAAATTAGTAATTCATTTCCGGTCTTATGATAATAAACTTCATTTAAAGGGTTAAACAAATACAGCTTTAATTGTGTTTTCGTCCACACATTGGACTCAATGAGCGATGGATCGGGAGATTTACAGACAACGACTGTGTGTCACGTATTGCATACCAACACGAATATAGTGTATAATACTGTGTAAGCCTTACATCACAAGTCAGAGCAAATAAAACTAAATAAATAGAAAATTGATGAAAAAGCACAAAATGGTTCACAAACATTTTTTACGTTCACTAGTCATATACTGTATTAATAATTATATCGCTTATTATGATTGAATATAGAGATTAAATTTCTCTAGACTTTCGTATCAAATAAAGAATTTTAAAATAATATTTTTGGAGTAAAAAACTTATGAAATATTTAGTGATATTTTTTGAAGTGATTATCGATTAAGATATACAGTACTTTGTACATTAAACATGATAGAAAGCTAATACATACCAATATAATCGATAAATCCAACCTAAAATGAAAATAATAAAAATAAATTAATTAGATGTCAAAAATTAATTTTAAACTAATAAAAATAATAAATTTTTAATAATATTTAATTAATGAAGTTCATGTTTTCGTTCAAATTTTATTTTCACAAACAAGTTATGGGAACTTTAATTGAATTAATTTATTAAATATAGTAAATCACTTCTTAGCAGGACTTTGTGTATTTTATAAAAATAAAACAAAAGTATTGTCATCATTAGCAAAAATATAATATTATTAAATTTAATTCACTAACAACTATACACATTAATTGAAGGACTTGTGTAATTGAAAGTAGAGCACAATTACAAGAGTACATATGAGTTGTACAAAATGCAAATATTAGACAATTAATGTGTAAATTTATATTCATGTGAATGCAAGAAATGCATACAAAATAAAGTGTATTGATATTGCATTTTAAAGATATGTTGGAAATGAATTGTTGACCAAATTATGCAAATCATGTGAGAGAAGAGTTTCGGTAATTTTATGCCAACAAAACAAACACTTTTCAAGTCTGAGTTCATTTCCAATTCAATTAAATTAAGGATTTGAAGGAATAATACAAGTTTTGATCAAAGATTCAGAAAATTCTTTCCAAATAAAAACTTCAATTTGTGATAACTATTACATCTCTAATCAACTCTCTCTCTCTCTCTCT